GATGAATTTTATGGGAATTCATAGGGTAAGGAGGGGGGGGGTGATGACGATGAATTTTATGGGGATTCATGGGGTTGGGTTTATGTCGTATACGGGGCTAAAAGATTGTGTATCTGTTGATGACAATGATCTGTGTGTCCCCCTCAGAGTGCCCGCGAGGAACGTTCAAGAATTACATGGGCCTGGGAAGCTGCAGCCCTTGTGATAACAGGTCTATGGAAGTGCCTCACTGCGCTGCCCTTCAGCCTTTGGGTAAGGCCATCAGAACCCGATCACATAACTACTGTCCTTGACCTTAAGATGTGGGCTTTCTCTTTGTATGCGCATTTCTTGTTTCTTCTTTTTTGAAATGTGTGTTTGTTTTTCACCTCTCCATTCCCCTCCTTTTTCTCCAATTCCTTCTTTCACTCCTATCTCCTGCCCTCTCTCTCTCTTTCTTTCTCCCCCCCCCCACCCTCTTTTTCTCTCTTTCTTTCTCTCTCTTTCTCTCTCTCTCTCTCTCTCTCTCTCTCTCTCTTTCTTTCTATCTCTTTCTCTCCCTCTCTTTCTCTCCTACCCTCTCTTTTTCCCTCCTTCCTCTCTCTTCCTCCTTCTATCTGTCTATCGGAATGTCTGTCTATCTGTTTACCTGTCTGTCTGTCTGTCTATCTATCTATCTCTCTCTCTCTCTCTCTCTCTCTCTCTCTCTCTCTTTTTTTTTTCTCTCTCTCTCTCTCTCTCCCTCTCTCTCTCTCTCACTCTCTCTCGAATTATCTTTACACATCATCCATTAATGTGTAGACCTATGTGAGCGAATAATAATATGTAGCTCTCTGTGTCTGTGTTTGCACTAAAGACAATAATTCTAATTCCTGCTGGGTATTCACTCCTGACCTCTGACCTCTGGCCTCTGGCCAAGGCCGCCCTTGCTGAGGATTCTCCAAGACAGAAAGAAACGGAAATCCTCTTATCTCTCCAGTCACATCTCTCCAATCATGTCTGTCCAGGCTACCATTCTTAATTTCCACACTGTGGCAAAGCGGCTGCTGGCTTGGGTCTTCCCATAATAAGCTTCGTCTTTGTGTCAATGTACTCAAAAGGAAAAAGATACAGATGAACGAAACAAAAGGCCAAATAAAAGAAACCTTTCCTGTAGGCTACAGAGATGATAATATGTAAAAATCCCTTTAATGTTCATTGTAATTACTGAATAATGGTGAGGATATAGTGGACTACAAAGATATGTTTAAATCCTTTTAATGTTAATGTAATTACTGATTGATGGTAAATATAATAGTAGGCTACAAAGATTATGTTATGTTTAAATCCTTTTAATGTTCATTGTAATTACTGAATGATGTTAAAGATATAGCCGAGCTCTCCCTTTTTAAAATAAATTAAAAGCGTCTTTGTCTTTTGACACAATACACTTCTTATTGAATTGTTGACATTGTCGGTCTGTTGGACTGTTATGTATGCCATTTTACAGGAAGTTCCGAGTTTTGAATACCAACGGGACCTATAATCATCTCCCCTCCTTCACTACGAGGTGTCTATGAATAAAAATAAAGACAACCCATTTAACGTGGAAATAACTTTGTCACTTTTGCACCAAATTTCATCAAAACTTCGAATAAAATAACATTCCACCAAAGAGAAGTCGAAGTTTTGCAATATAAAGAAAATCAATATATTTTGTGGTCGAGAAATATCAAGGTTTTTTTTAAAATTCAACCAAAATAGAGTAAAACGCAAGACTTAATTAATATCAACCGCTTTCGAAATAAGCTAGTCCGCACCTAATTAATAAAGATATAAGCAAAACACTAAAAACACAAAAGCAGAAGGAAAAATTTGTTATTTTTCAGTTTATAATCAAGGTCGTTTCTGCTAGAGAATGACGCTCTCTCTCTCTCTCTCTCTCTCTCTCTCTCTCTCTCTCTCTCTCTCTCTCTCTCTCTCTCTCT